CTGAGTCATAGCTGATTAATACAAGCAATAAAGGCTTAACTCAATCAGAAATGAAATGTTTAATTAATGCTCTCTCCCTACATAGACCCAAGTCAGACTGGTGTGGCCCACGAAGACTTGAAAAGAAGCAGGTTCAGTTTCAATCCTACCGAACACATAAGGTAGTACTTTATTTGCTATGTGACATTCTGCACAACCTCAGAAGGTTGACGTTGAAGTCTCTCACCCTCCTTAAATAGACAGTTCTTCCTGAAGCCTGAGGGACACTGACTTGTAGTTTGGACTTTACTGTGAGGAAATTCTCAATACTTACGTATAGAACTTTTCTGTACATGAAAAAGCTGATTTATACCACAGGATTAAGTTGTTTATTTTTTTTGGTGTTTCCTTTTGCTCGGTTGAATACATTGTAAACCAAAAAACTGAGTCTTGAACTAATGAAGTCTGTGTCAAGTAAATTTCCCCCGGCTTATGTTCTGCTTTGGCTGGCGCTTCAGAAGTCGAGAGCTCGATGTCAGCAGTGAAAATGTGTTTTCACAAGTGTTCACTTGGACAGGATGAATTGAAAGCAGATAAAGACGAATTGAAGAGGAAAAGTGAGCTGTAATCCCCATCATGACTGACATCCCTGTTTCCTGCCGACCTGGTTGTTGGCCTTCATGGTCGGGCAGCTGTCAGAGGATGTGCAGTCTATTGTTCTCTCACTTCTTTGAATCACTGTCATTTAATATGTAAACACAGACACAACAGCTGGGTAAACTTAAGGCCCACTTTTACTCTCTAAATCACACACACACACACACACACACACACACACACACACACGCGCGCGCACACACAGAATACACAAATTCCTGACATTTTCTAGATAACAGTCAGGTCCCAAAGTTTCCCAATGTTTTCCTTGATTGGCTTCTTTCACACATTTCTACAAAAGTTGGAGATTGTTGTTGAACGTGCTCAAAAATCGAAACGCCTGGTTAAGTTGAACAAAGTGGGATGTAGATCAGGAGGAGTGGTCTTCCATAATAGTTCGATAATAATTTTCTAAGATTCTGAAATGATTGAAAGCATCCAAAAATCTTTTCTTATGTCCTAAGTACATTTTCCCCAGCAGCCAGTTAGAGCACGGCAAACTGGCTGCTGGCGTTTTTGTCTTCAGTGCACCCTCTCCACCTTCCCTGGTACACTGACGCAGCTGTGTGGAGGGGGATGTCTGTCCTGTCTTATCAATTTCTCATCAGAAGAAGTCTGAACCTGCTCACATAGGCTACATCATCATCAGAGAACAGGTGATGGGTCCTGAGATTGTTGCAATCACAACACAATAGTAGAAAGTGTGATACAGAGAACTGAGGTGAGCAGTAAAGAGTAAAATACAGAAAAACTGAAAGGTATCATCAACCAACCCACCATCCAATTGTAAATATTTCAGATTTCACATGGGGGCTGGCAGGAAGAAGTCTGCATTAAGGCAGGGCAAACAGATTTACCGGACTGTATGTGTAAAAAAACAGGCTACAAACATTCAGAATCCATCAGTCAGCACAGTAAAATTCACTTTTGCCTGCAGACGAACATAAACACACTCAGACACGTTCCCATCCAGACTGAACCCTCTCCCTGGAGGTTTGCTCCTTAGGTTTGCTGGAAGCAGTTGTCTGATCGGCTGTTATCAAGTGAAGTACAAAGCGGACTGCTCCACTGACTGCACAGCAGGGGGGGAACACTACGCTGTGGTGTGTTTGGGTGGTCTTCTGTGATGCTGTTCTGATTCGGTGACAGCAGAGGAGAGGAAAGAAGAAAAGGAGAGAGAGTGATTGGAGGGTATCTTAGTAACCTGCTCCTGTTATTGGCTCAGTTTTGTTCCTTTTTTTAAACTGATAAATAAAAGCTTGAGAGTAGCTGCAATCATTTATTGCCTTAATGTTTTAAAAGGTCTGGATAGAGTTGGTATTTGTTTAGTGACTTTGTCTGTAGTACCAGCACTGTATGCAGGTTAATTAAAAACAAGAAAGTTCACAATTTTTGGTGCCCAGGTATTTTTATTGTTCGTTGCTGTGGTATTGAAACATTACATTTTACTTTACTGTCTTAGTGAAATGAAAAATGTTGTACATAGAAAAAGGAACATTTTAGTGTTGTGAAAACTTGATGTTCGAATATATTGGACTAGAGATTATGCATTAAATAGTTTTGACTCAGTTATAAAGCAAACTATATCAACTTCACATTTTTAAGTAAATTATGTAGAGTAAGGTAAAGTATCCCTAATAGTGTGATATTGTAACACGTGTCATGATGCATATCCTATTGTGAGGTCCTTTCTTAAACCCAGCCCTGGTAAAAAAAAAAAAAACAAGGTTTCAGATGCAAGAATAGGAATATAAGGATCAACAGATTGAGAAATGTCATACAAAGACAGCAGAGTTGATTGATTGATTGATCAAACTTTACTGTCAGACATGGACTGGAATTTGTCTCGCATCACAGTGGTTCCATTTGCAACATTAAAAATTAAAGACAAGACACAAAGATACAAACATTTGACACAACATTCAAACACATTTTCAGAGGCCTTCAACATGCTTTGATCTGGGATTCAGCCCTGCGCTCAATTTTAGTATTGAGTTCGTCGGGACCCGTCAAACAGTTCCTTCCAGCACCTTTTAAGATCAATTACAAATACATACATCTCCTTTTATAATACCAACTATATCTGAAGTTTAAAAGCGCATATTGTTACCTTTAAAACTGAAGCCAGGCTAGATGTACCACTATTTTCTGTTGTTACGGTATGCTAAGCTAACAGGCTGCTGGCTGTTATTCCTCTTCACTTCCAACTCCTTGCATGAAAGTGAACATTTATATTACAAACAATTTGAAGCTGACTTTCAGCCAAATACAGTCATACCTTCAGAGATTCTGTTAAAGCAAACCAGAAGTGAGTCAATATCAATCTCATCACTTGTGAGACATTTAGAGGTATTATGGTACTGGTGTTCAAGACACAATATCGTACTGTTAAAGATATTACACATCACCTGTTCAAAAAAAGGTTTAAAGAAACTTGTAAAGAATATCCCATAGCACAACATATACAACATATAAAGGTAGAAGGATTCGTTAGTTGATAAATTGGGTAATTCAGTTTCACTTTGACTAAGTTTATTTTAGGAGAGATGGTCCATTAAGATAACTGCACCAGAGTTATGCAACTTTGTATCTGCAGTCCTTGTGGAGAAAGACAGAAAATTCAAGACAAGAAAAAAAATGTTATCAATTAAAATGTCACGGATAAGTGTCGTAATATTTGAAATCAAAAAGGATAAAAAGAGGTTATTGGTGATTCTTACCAAACCTGATTAAATCCTATTTTCTCTCAGGTTTTACACAATCTCTGCGTACTTGTTTCTGATTATTTTCCAAATCAGCTTTGTCCTCATTTACAGCCTTAGCACTGTGCACTCTAAATGTGTATTATTTATATCATTGTGTGTTCAGCAGCTCTTGCAGAACAGCACAAGCTGCACAAGCTCATTTTTCTGCAATCACACTCTGTATTTTGTAGAAGACACAAAGGGAAAAACAGTTTTAATAAAATCACGGCAGATTATTCATGAAACTCCCCCGCAGGGTTTCTGTGACATTATGGACTCAGAGCGTCACGTCAGAGTGTTTTCTTTTTCAAATATGATCCGGTTAGTTTAAAAATAACATCTGAATGCAGCAGGTCATGTTCAGTTGTGCTGTAAGGAGCTTTTATGAATTATTACAAAACATAGGGATGTAGAGCAGCTTGATTTAGTGGTTTTAAAGTTCAACAAAACAGGGACAATATGTTTCCCTCTAAAGTAAATCAAATCAAACTGTAAAAAAGAAAATGAATAGGATGGATTCCTAGTTGATGTAAAAACTTTGTATTCATGTTATAACTGAATCCCAAAGACTTCTGTTTATAGTCATAACTGTAAGTTTTTTTAATGAACTTTTCATTTTCTAAATGTTGTCTTGAGGGAAATTAGAAGTTGATTTTTCTTGTGACTTGAAGTACAGAAATCACAATGACTAACATTCTGACTAATCCTTTGTTTGTAAAGCAATTGTTTCCCAATGGTCCTTAGAGCTGAAGTGAAAAGGTGATTTGTGAAATGAGTCAAATTCACTTTTTCAGGGTTGCTTTTTTTTTTTTTTTTTTTTTTTTAATTTGTTTCAATTATTTTTATAGGAAAAATCTTGACCTGGTTCTGGTCTCAGATCCTGGAACCAGGTACATTACGGTACGATACAAAACGATACGATGCGATTCGATACAATTTGATACCATACATTATATCATATCATATATGTATATCGTATCTTAAGGATTTCTGAGGGTCATTGTCTAAACTTTTTTGATATTTTATTGATACAAAATATGGGGATTTGGAAGTAATTTTAAATTGCAGCCCTATTTGTTTTACACCAACTCAAACTATTTCAAAATATGCTAATGGGTTTTCAGACACTATACTTTTTAAATATGAAAACCAAAATCTACCTTTTCATGACTTCTGTCTTCATCTCTTGATCTCTTGGTTGTAATCTGGTTTACAAAGCCAAGACCACCTCAAGAGATGGCAGCCAGTTCTTCTGGGGAGTAACTGTGGTGAAAGTGCAGATTTCTGTGTGTGTGTGTGTGTGTGTGTGTGTGTGTTTTCGTGTGTGTGTGTGTGTGTGTGTGTGTGTGTTTGTGTGTTGAAGCAGAAAAAGCAGGCACTGATGTATTCTGACAAGTGTGAACACACCACTGTTAAAGGTCTTAACAGAAACGGCATGGTTCTTTAGGTGCACAATATACTGAAGTGTGTTTAAGTCAAAATATCACACAGAATATTTTTCTCACTGGTTTTTAAATTCTATCCTGTTAATTCAAAGGTCCTGACGTGACCATGACCCACAAACAGCTGCACATATCCTCTCTAATAATGTCATCCTTTCTTCTCTTCTCTCTTTTGCAGCTCTTCTCCATCGTGATCTTTGGCTGCATCGCCAATGAGGGTTACATCAACCGCCCCAATGAAGTGGAGGAATACTGCATCTTCAACCGCAACCAGAACGCCTGTAACTATGGCGTCTTTATGGGCTCCATGGCCTTCCTCTGCTGCTTGGCCTTCCTGGCTTTGGACGTCTACTTCCCCCAGATCAGCAGCGTCAAAGACCGTAAGAAGGCGGTGCTGGCTGATGTCGGGTTATCAGGTAAACCCATTACATACATGCATGGTTCTTCTTTGTTGACAATGAAAATAAAACCCAATGGATAGCTGTGGCTAAGCCTCTTGTTTATGTTGTCTTTTTAAAATGTGTGTGTAGGAGCTTTATTTCTAAGAGACTTATAAATAATCACTACATACTGTATTTATAACTGAACGAGTCTATCCAGGTACAGACTGGCTTGTTTTATGATAATCTGGAAAACCTGCCCAGTACCTCTAAAAAAGAGAAGCCTTCAGATTTATTCAGTTTAGAAAAAAGATGAATTAGATAATCTCAGTTTTGGTCAAATCTATTTTATTTTAAACATGTTTAAAAATGTTTAAAATAAATCCGTGCAAATTGTGTTCAACCAAAGTTTGGAACAATATTTTCTGCTGAATTCACCTTCCATGTAACTTCTTCTGAAGAGACACAAGAGCATGAAGACGCTGTGTGCTTGTGAACTGAGTCAAAGGAACCTGGGACAAATCATTTCAAGTTGAATAGCCCTGTAAGAACAGCAGTGTGTACGGCCATAGTGGAATGAGATACACAACTTTAATGCAATCAGAAAAACACATATCCTACACATAAAGTTGTCTAGCTTTCAGTACCTCAAAACACCATTACTGCCGTGACTTACAGATACAGATTTGTTTACCAAATGTACCCAAATTATAAGAACATACATCAAATCTGGTCAGTCAATCAGTGGCCTAAGTACTTTCACATATTATGAACATTTCATTGTAAGGTTAAGACCTTGCTTCATGCGTTCTTTTAAAACGGGGCCTTAGCTTGGAGTCATTACAATCCAACAAATACTACATGATAAAGCTTGACATTGCCTTTGAAAAATAAACCCAAATAAATAAATTCAGTACTTAAATCATTTGAGAGGTTTCTGTGCATTCCCTACTGACTACAGTTCCATTCGCTTGTCCAGTTGTAAAAAAAATAAAAGGCAAATGGGAGTGCATTAGCCCTGAGTTGTTCAGGCCCACTTACGACTGAAAGTAAGTCTGTGAAAGTTGGAGCATTCTGCTCCTCAAATAAATCACTACGGATGGATAACCCTAACCCTTTCTCCCCCCCCAAAAAACGTCTTAATGACTGACTTTGCTTTTCAGGGGCTGAATTGTTTCGCTGCTTTTTTTATCTTGCTAGACTTTTGAACGAAAGTTTACACAGCATTCATGCTGTTTGTCAGCATTGACTTAGTCAAAACTGGTACTTTTCTTCACTTTTACACCAGCTTTTTTGTTCTACCAGATGGAAATGTATTGGATGTATGGGTTGAGGTACTTGTCTTGCAGGGAAGTTATGTTAGGTTTTATGGATCACAGAACATTTTGTACTCTCTTTTTCGAGGAAGGTATTTTCCTGCTGATTAGGAGATCTCACCCACAGAGAAAATGTGAGCCCTCTTTTCACTCTGTCAACATAGCATTTCAGAGAGTGGCAGTCAGGTTATCATCACAACAAAAAGAGAGGAGGTGTGAGAGGGATATTAAGGAGTAGAGGGCTCTTCTGGTGCTCAAAAGCCTCTAAGAACTTTGTGTGGCTTCATCTTGCTATACTCAGACACCATGACAGATATTCAACCCAGATATGACTCTCCTAACCAATTTCTATACTCACACAAATAATAGTCTTAATTCTAGCCATCTACAATCTCAAGCTTCATATTCAGCGACGGACTCAAGACATGTCTTCATTAAAATCTAATTTCTCTTAAAAAGTCCTCAAATATTATCAGTATCAGACTCATTCTGATAGGAACGTCCTTTTCTTTAATCAAGTGTTAGTCTGAAGTCAAGGTTGTACATCTCGGCATGATTCTTGTTCCACTTAACTCAACATCTTTACCTGTCTCTCTTCCCAGCATTCTGGTCCTTCATGTGGTTTGTGGGATTCTGTTTCCTGGCAAACCAGTGGCAGGTGACCAAGCACGAGGACAACCCGCTGAGGGAGGGAGGGGACGCTGCACGGGCGGCCATCACCTTCTCTTTCTTCTCCATCTTCACCTGGGTAAGGGCCTCCACACCTCATTGGACCAAAGTTTAGCACAGATGACAAATGATTGAACATCTAACATTATGAATCCACTGCAGGCTCTTCATTTACTGGCCTCTAAGCTTTTATGCACATGTTTGTCTTGACAACTTGTTCTTTATTTTTTCTTAGTGAGTGTTTGGATGCTGCAAACATGTTAATTGGTGTATGCATAGGCCTACCTGTAAACTCACAAGTGTGTGGATGTTGTTCCAACAGGGTGCTCAGACTCTCTTCTCTATGGAGAAGTTAAAGAATTTGTCGTTTGAAGAGGAGTACACCAAGCTGTTCCCCACTCAACCTAATTAACCTTTTATCTGACTCTGCTCTGTCGACTCCCCCTGCTGCCTTAACACTGTGAACACACTCCTGTAGCTTTACTGTGGCTGCACTTGTTTAAGGGCGCTCAGTAACATAAGATAGCCCTGGAAGAAGAGAGTGGTTTTGTAATCCAGCAGTGAGGAGAGCAGCTGCACCATCAGGGTTGTCAGTTAAGAAGCTGTTTAACGTTTTGTATTTGAATAACTGAATTAAATGCTGACCTGTGCACATCATAATGATAAAATATGGACGGGTGGGTGTATTCAATCGTCGATCAAAATGCATGACTCAACCAGTGCAGCACCAAACGCTGACAATTCTGGCCTTTTATGCCCACTTAAAATCATTTGATCTGTTTTGGAACGAAAGCTCTCTGCCCACTTTTTTCTTTTAAATGTTAACCAAAAACGCGTTTTTCATAAAAATGAAAAGTGTGGATGTTAGAAAACGAGTCAGAAGATAAATTCAAAACTAATCTAGCTGAATGATTCCTTCAAATAGTTAGGTTTTTAATTCTCAAGTGTAAACAATCAGAAGTGTGTGTTATCCACTGACTTGTCTTTTTTTTTTTTTAAGTCAGCTTTCACTTTGTATTCAAAGCAGGCAGGTTGGCAGTTTGTTGCTGGTGTAGGAACTTCACCACCAATGCCGGAGCCCTTAAACAAGTGTGCACACAATTTACAGATCAGACTGCCACACGTCTCATCTATCTCTTTGATGTGAAAGTTTACAGAGTTGTTGGTGCTTTGTCTTTTTGCTAGTTAGAGTGATTTAGGTGATATTTTTATATACAACTGTTTTAGTTAAAAACATGATTTCTTAGATCTATGAAAAAAGTTCTTTTTCTATAAAAATGCACCTGCAATGTTTAAAGTTGCAAAATTTTGTTTTTGTTAATGATGAAATTACATTGAAAGCCTTCTCTCTGTTTAATTTACAGGCTAAGCTATCTGACTCAGGAAATTCACTTTTCCATTTCTGGCAAAACTTGGATGAGAGTAGTCTTGTATTGTTGGTAGGCTATGTGAAGCACAAGCTTGCAGCTAGCTAGCATAACTTAGCATGAAGATGAAGAAAACGTGTTGAAAATGCTAGCTTGGCTCTGTCTGGAGGTAAAGACACAAAAAATCGATCTACCAGCACTTAAGAAGCTAACATTTAAAAAGTTATCTCAAAAACAGAAGTATTAACAAGATGTTGCTAGGGGGATTTAACAAGCTTAGTGATGTACCATGTTAATAAATGATTTTTAGTGGTGCTGCCAGGTGGATTTTGTTAACTTTATACAGAGCCAGGCAAAATTGTTTCCATTATTTCAGGCTTTATGCTAAGCTACCCTAAGCTACCCGGCCTCATATTAAAGTGGTATCAATATTATCCTATCTAAATCTCAGCTGGAAATTGAAGAAGTGAATTCCCAAACTGTTTATTTTTACTTTTTTGTAGCACAGTATTCACTGTAACTCTCTTAAACACTTCCATAATAAGTTTCCACTTTTCAACTAGGCTATGTCATTAAGTTGATTTGGTATTTTAATAGCCTTTAGAGATTGCCTTTGCAGTTTAAGTGGGACAGTTTGAAGACACTTCAATTGAAATATCAAACGGTTTTATTGCATGTTCATGGGATTATATTACTTGAAATTGTGCATGTTATAAGTTTATTAGTTTATTTGAATCAGGGACAGGTTAATAGATAATGTTCATTACACAGATACTTTAATGTTCCACAAACTTATTGACAAAATAGGTGAAATTTTCAGGTACCTGAATGTAAATTGTTATTTTTATGGATTTGGGACTGCTATTAATTCGTTTTTATTTTCTTTTTTGAATTGCACTCAGCCAACCAAATAATGAATTTGATGGAACCAAGGCAGTTTCCTTCTTCAAACCAGATTCAAGCTGACTTCAACATCTGATTGTGCGAAAGAAAAAAAAATCACTCACTATATAAACCACTCGTCAAACTTCCCAGCACTGAAAGCTGAAAGCAATTCGACTGTTTCTTTGTTTTTCTTTCTTTGTGTGTGTTTGTTTTCTACGTGTACTTTGCTTGTTTCACTGCTGTATTGAAACAGTTCTAAATATCGACAAACTCGAGATCTGTGGTGTTTTACAGTGCAGGGCCTCAGCTGTTTAATAATGCACACAGACATAGTGGAATTGCTTTGTCCTGCTCCTCTGTGGACTGGAGTGGCATTAAGATGGTGTTTCTCATTAGGGACTGAACAATAAATAACTAGCCTTTTTGCATCGCTGCCTATAGAACTAACTCGCTCTGGCTGTTTAAACGACTGACCCACAGTATCTAATAAGCTTCACAAGCTTTCCAAGCCAACTAATCAGTGTTTCCTTCTCCCTCTTTGTTCTCTTTCTTCCCCCAAAACCTCTGCTCTAACACTACTGCTTTTTCTGCTTCACTATCTACCCATTTCTCCACACCTATTCGTCCTCTTTGCCCTTCTTTCCTCTTCTACCTACCGTCTCTCCACACCAAAGGCAGGTCAGTCCTTCTTGGCCTTCCAGAGGTACAAGCTGGGGGCCGACTCAGCCCTCTTCTCCCAGGAGTACACAGACCCCAGCCAGGATGCAACCGGAGCCCCTTACACCTCCTTTGGCGGGGATGACGTAGAGAGCCCAGGAGGAGGAGGCGGCCAGCCCAACAGCGAAGGGGCCTTTGACGGGAGCAGCGGCTATCAGCGTCAGGATTACTGATTTGTTGATGGGGGGGTGTGTCGGGTGAAGTTGCCCATAGTTTCAAATTGAGTGAAGGTTTGATGAGCTTCTAAATCACTGGGTTTATTTATAGCACCAACACATACTGATTAATTTAAATGTCTTGATAGACACAACCATCATAAAGGCTGACTTTGTAAGTTTGTGGGATAATATTATGGCAGAATAATTGGCAACAATTCAAATAAAATAATATTGTTTATAGAGTTCATCATGACTAAAAACAAACAATGACTCGAAAGCAGGCCTCTCAGGTTTTCTGGGTTCTTGTAAACTTTTGGAAGAGGACTATGTGGGTGTATATGACACTGCTCCATTAAATTTAACCCTCAAACTGTCAGAAATATATCCCGAGTTGCACATGAAATGTGCAGATGACGTTCAAAACTTCAAAGGATACACAACTCTCATAAGTAACAAATGTTTAAAGGTGTAGCAAATGTATAGTGTGCAACTGTTTCAGTTTAGGTGAATAACCAAAATGACACTGCATCAGAGCAGTAAATATTTTGGGTCATTTTCTATCTTGGATACAGTATTGTGTTGGTGCTTATTTAACCTTATCGGGTCAATTCTCAGCAAGTGCTTTTTTCTTGTGAATCTGCAACAGCTGTTCTATTTGGGAAAGGTTAGCTGATATGCCTGTGTCATTTCAGTTGGCAATCTGACTTTCATTCTTTATGCAGTTTAATTAGCAGATTTTTTTCTCTATCACAGAAATGTTGGGCAACTTTTCCAGTTGTGGGAGGATAAGGTAACAGCTAGGTTTAGGAAAATATGTCCGTAAGCTACAAGTTTGCAGGGAAATAACTGCAAAGGTTCAGGAAATCCATGGACGGGGGGTTGTGGGATTTTAAAAAGACACTGTATGGTTTGAGCTGTAAAACAAAAACACGATTTAGAGGTCAAGGGGGTTGCAGAAATGGTCACTCTGTAGCTGATCAATGCTCGTGACTGCATTGCCTTCATCTTCTTACGTCTGCTGTCTGTCAGCAAAATGACTATGATCAGTGTTAATTGAAACACACATACACACGCTACAAGTTACAAGACATTCACAAGTTATCGATTTTAAAAAGACAACACAAGTTTTTTGCTGACTTAACTATTCAGAGGTGCAATACAGGATCTCAACATAAGCAAACAAGCAACAGCAGCATATCTGGCAACTAAACCCCTCAACTTTAACAAGTGTGTGTGTGTGTGTGTGTGCGCGCGCGCTGAAGGGTCTCCTTTAGATTTGAATGATGCGTGGATGTGGGACAATTTAGGTTGTCTCGTTTCCCTGGATAAGCCACTTTTACTTTCCTCGATTGTTGCCTTAGTGCTGACTGCCAAGCGAAATCCAATGAACACAAACCCAACAACATGCACACAATCACAAGTCGTTTTCACACATACGCTCCTCCTGAAAAGATCTAGAGAATTTCAGGAGGACTGCTCCTAGCTTCTCTTTTATCGTCTGAAGAGCAGAAGCAATACCTACTAAATTTTGTGTTGCTTCTGTTCTTTAGGATGTAAAAACATTGAACAAAACGAGCATTTTTCATACTTAAAGAACGTCCGAAATGTCAGTTTCCTGTCAACAGTCTTTTGAACTCAACTTCCTACACAAAGAACAGCAGGTTATTTATCTTTTCACTGTATTTCAACAAATCTACAGATGAGGCAACCATGAACATCCTGAATATTTATGGTCATGCATTGCTCCATTTTCTTGAAGAATAAAGTATATCTATCTCTCTATAAATATATGTAAATCTATAATTCAGTATATTAGAGTGTTTGGAGAAAAGATTATGCTTTATTTTAGGGCATTATGCTAGTTCTGTATAAAAAAAGAAAAGACATAAGAAAGAAGATCTATGTTCTGTTGGGTGTTATAGTGATAAGATATACAGTGAGGTCGTCTATGCCTCCGTATGTTGCTTTCAGGTAACGGAGATGTTTTTATTTTGGGATAATAATACTAACTTTAAAAAAAAAATAAAGCAACAAAAAATGTGACCAAATTATCAAAGTGTATATGCACATATATACTTTATACTGTAATACAGTGTAGTCGTAGAAATGTGTGACGTTCCTTTGTGAAATCTGTTTAAATAAAGTAAGGTCAGATTTAAGAAAAAGATTGTGTACAAATGTATGTTTTTGATGTGTTTGATTTTAACCAATTAAAATAAAGAAATTCCCAAAAGTATATGAAGGAGTGGAGTGCGGGATTATTTGTGCATTTCTAATTGTAGCCTTCATTGTTTATTATAATAAAGGCTACATTCAAAGTGTTTCTGAAGTGTAAATGGTAAATATGGTAAACCTTTGGGTCACTAGGCTGAACTAGTCACTCGTTGTGGTTGACTCTTCTAACAAAAGGATTGATCACCTACTGTATCATAGGCAATAAACCATACAGAAAATGTATGTTTTACCAAGAGTTCCTAACTCACACACACAGTACAGATGTAAGCCTATTTAAAATGTTTTTGGTCCACTATTAATAATAACCTGCGGCACACAGACAGCGTTCAGAATCTTGACTCAGTTGCAACTCAAATTTGATTTGATAAAATTATAACTTTTAATGTATTCATTTAAAGAAATTGAAGCTATTTTTTGTTACAGACTGACTCAAGAATACTCTACTTTCTTCACTGAATAGGTATTAAAATAGACCCTTTTACAAAGCGTTATATACTCAATTGCTTTAATTATAGTCCAATGTAGTGCAAAAAAATGTTGCGTTAAAAAACGTTTAATGTGTGGAAGATATCAGGACTCAAAATACAACAGTCATCAACAAAAGCATTGTGGTTCTAAATCTAACCATAAGGTGGCGATATTGTCGAGGGAATTCTGCACAGCAACATCAAGGATCATTGTTTTGAGTAGATTTCCCTTCTGTTTTATACCCTAATCAAAATAAATTAAAAAATGAGTGTTTTGGATTGCTCTTGAGGAGGACACTTATAATCCGGCTAAACACGAATAAAATCTCACGAGTTGAATGAAGTTAGGCTATGAGGACGTTGCCTTAAATGTTGTTAAGTTTTAAAGATTTGCAAATGTAAATAAAAAAACAACTTCTCAAGGCATGAAGCGAGGAGAGAGGGCCCACAATATTCAAATGAAGATTGACTCGGCCTTTTTGTTTTACTGCTTCGGTGTAGCCTACTCTCCAAAACTATAAAGTTTATCTTAGGTTGTGGTCACATCTTTCTTGAAATATACTCAGCAAAAATGGCAACTGAATTAAAAAAAAAGTAAGCATATTGTAATGAAAGCGCAATATGTTCAAGCGAATCTACTTGGTAGGTTACGGATGCAACAATGCGAAAGTGATCACCTCACCTGCACACTTCGAACTCCGACTTTTCCCACGAACCCGTGAACGCAACGGAGCACCGTCCACCATGGCGGCCCAGCGTAAGAATTTGATGCAGAGCGTGAGTGGAAAAATCAACTTTTATCGCTCTCATGACCTTGTAAAGTCCTTGTCGCGCCAGTCTTGAGACGCGCGTTTGTGTCCTTTACCTGCCCGTGTTCGTCATTGTTTGTTTTTACTTCGTTCTGGGTTGCTTCGTTTCATTCAGTGATGCTAATGCTAGTTAATACAGCTGGAGTTTGTTATCGGCTTACTTATAGCTTAGCTAGCTGCCCAAACTTCATCTGAAGATAATGTTATTTATTAGTGTTAGTTAATGTTATTCACAACAGGAAGGGGTAACTGTGTCTCCTGTGTACACTTTGAATTAACAAAAACAGGCCTCACCCAGAATGTGCAGCTTAACTAAGGCTCAGATTCGGTTTTATAGCTGTTTTGTATTTATGTTCACGTAGTGGGCTTCACATAGTTACAATGTTTTTTTATTTTATTTAAGGTGTTTCCTGTTAGTTATGATGTCTAGAAAACCCCTGGCTTTCCTTTTTTTTTTTTTTTACCGCATTCAGTTTTGTTTTGTCAGTTTTACAGCACCTTAAAGCTGTCAGTGAATATTTGTTATTATTACCTCACAACCCACATTAGGAGAAAGTTAGATTTAATCAAGTGTACAAAAGTAAGTGTCCACCAAAACAAAAGAAAGTGTGTTTGTTTTTAGGTTAGAAAAGCAATTTGTTAACACGGAAAATGTTCTTTTTGTGCACAAGAAACACTTTTTTTTTTGCATGCAGATAAATAGATTGCATTTATTTAACCTGTGAAAACTGCTGGTGTTGATCTTCCCATTTATTTTACACTCAATTATTAAGGGACATTTTATTTTACATGTTAGTTCTTCGATTTTCGTTGTGTGTCCATGATATCTAATCTTTCTAAATCATTAAAGTAATTAAATGTAAAAATGCAGGGGAATCCACTAGTAGTTTCCACATACATCATTCAGTGTAATAATCAATTTATTTAGATCATCTTCTGTATCTTTACAGCATCAGAGCTGGACAGATGACCTGCCTCTGTGTCAGATGTGTGGGGTGGGCACAGCACCAAACTGTGTTTACGGGCCTGACGGTAAAGGAACTCAAAGCCACACCAATGAGGACGGACATCTTGGTTTTAGGTGAGACGCTGGAAATACAAAAACTTGGTGTGAAATGAAAAGAAATGACTAAGAAAATAAGAATTAAAGTTGAACCTTGTGTGATAATAACAGTTAAAAAGGTGTCAGGCTTGTCTTTGAAACTTAAGCAGGACAGCTTCTTCCTAACACAGGACTTAAAACCCTTCCATTCATTCCTTTATTTGATATAGTAGTACTTCATTTTAGTACATCCTCTGTCAGAGGTTCAAATGAATTGTCTACATCATGTGATGTACATTTACACCTCTGAGAATACATTAAACCCTCAGTGAAAGCTTTGATTTCTGGACATGAGAGTCTTCAGCAAGCACAATCAGAGCAATGTGCTCTACAGGTTCAACAGGTTCTTTTAGTGACTGCATGTCTTTGCTTACCTGGGGCTAAGCGAAGACTCTGAAAGAAGGTTTAGTGTAAACTCTTGAGTCAGTTAACCCTGAAATGAGGGAAACTCTGGGTATTCCGTTTCAGAAGAGGAAGTCACTCAAACCCGAGAAAGAGGGGTAACTCCAGCCGGTTTCAGAGGGTTAGGTTACTTTAGCTCTGAGTCAGTTACTATGGTAACTAGGGGTGTGCACGTGTACGCGTGTAACCGGTTAGTAAATCATAACCATTTAGGAAAAATCAGTAAATGGAAACCGTTGAGAGTGAATCAACTCAGAGCTCAGGGTTAGACTGAGGGTTTGTTGAACCTTCTTTCAGAAACGTGCCCCTGATCATGTGTAAATAAATCCCCTTTTCCCAAACATTGGTTAATAAACATAACTTTTTTGTAGTTTCTAATGTTTGTTGACAGACGCACAGAGTCATGTTTCTACATGTAACGTAAAAGGAGGAGTTAAATGAAGTAAAAATAGAGTAGTCAGTGACGTTAAGAATTCACAGTTTAACATTTAAAGTGACTGACTGAAGTTGTGAAAATTACCTAGTTAAAGAAAAACTGTGATATTACCTTCTAAGTACACAAAACAAACTCAAATCTGTATAGTTTTACGTGAAGATGCTATTTTCAATACTGTCATGGTATAGAAGTAAAACAGAAGCCGTATGTTTGTTTTGTTCTCTTTCCACCAATCAGAGGCGAGGATGGCTGTTTCCTGTACGGGGTTTTTAACGGTTATGATGGCAGCAGAGTGGCCAGTTTCGCCTCCCAGTGTCTGACAGCTGAACTGCTGCTAGGACAGCTCAACTCCAGTCACACTGACAACGATGTCCGCAGGATCCTCACACAGGTGTGTGTTTGTTTGTGTGTTCGCGAGAAAGATCAGATAACAAACAGATCTCTGTTATTTGAGAAGCGTCTGTCTTCTCACCGCCTAAGGGTTGATGGTCAAACACTTTACTTGTTGTACTCTCGTGTATTGTTATGCTCCAGTTAGGCATGAAATGATCTCTATTTTTATAAAGGAAAACTTTTTAATTCAAGTGATACGTTTATAGTAGTAGTAAGTACTGTGTAATAAGCAGGATAATGTATTGTGAGTGGACTTTGCTCACAATGCTATAGCAACCTGCGTGCTGTAGATTATCTGGCGTGCATTTCTACAATCTTCTGAGCTTTAAATCTACATTAAAACATTGATCATTTCCAACATTTTTCATCCAGATACTTGTCTTTTTCTTGTTTTTGTATAGGCCTTTGATGTGGTGGAGAAGAGCTACTTTAAGACCATAGATGATGCTCTGGCTGAGAAAGCTCACCTATCCAACTACCTTCTACCACACAATGAGGTACAAACACACACACACACACACACACACACACACACACACACACACACACACACACACACACACACACTGTCCTGAGCATATTGACACATTAGGCTGAAATTCGAGAAGAAGAATTCTCTGTCGGTTTCCATAGAAACCACAGATTTGGGCATTAGTGTGAATTAATGCTCATCCATTGGAGAATGAGCTTTTTATGTGTCTAATTGGGCTCATCAGCCTATTTTCATTAGGTAAGCCGGTCTCAGTACTCCTCTGAAATCAGCTCTCCCTGCTCTGCTAGTGTACCCCCCCCCCCCCCTCCTCCTTTTCTCCTCTTCTCTACTTCACATGGAGTTATATCCTGATCAGTTTGCTGGTGTGGGCATTTTTGTTAAATGCTGTTCGTTGCTTGAGATAGTAGTTCATCAAGAACATCCTTGAGATTATAATCTCTTTTCTAATATTCTTGTCTTTATCTCTCTTTCATGCTCTCTTCCTATCTCCTGCTCCTACTCATCTCTTATCCTTTTTCATCTCACCTCTTGCTTGTTCTCCTCCTCCCTCCTCCACTTCACTTCCTTTATTTCGCACCTCCTATTTCATCATTCATCTAATTTCCTCTTTTATTCTGCTATGTGCTATTCTTTCCTCCCTCCCTTCTTTCTCAAACTCACAACATCCTCTTCATCAATTCTAATTCTCTATGCTTCTTTCCTCCTCTCCTTTCTTCTCTTTTCCTTTCTCCTCTCGGCTCATCAGAATGTGTCATTCCATCACTCTCAGAGTCAGAAGGTCCAGGAACGCCTGAAGGAGCTGGAGCAGGAAGTCTCAGGAGGAGCCACGGCTGTGGTGGCTTTGATCCTCAATAACAAGCTGTATATTGCTAATGTTGGTATGGAATCTCTCACACACACACACACACACACACACACACACACACACACACACACACACACACACACACACACACACACACACACACACACTTCTATTTACTAATAGTACAGAATTATTAATATCAAGTTAACATTAGAAGGAAATAGTTATCTGTAGTCTTACCGTACTTTTATTCTTTGGAGTAGCGCTTGAAATCAGACAATAACAAAGACATTTCAAGAACCTGCTCCACACCAGTAGATGTCAGGCTTTAACAGGTTTGGGTTGAGAGCTTTTCACTCTTTGAAGATCTGCGTCAGTCACTAAACTTGTGTTACAATTGGAGGAAACTGGAAGCAATTTGTTTCCTTGAAGCACAAAGTCAAAAGAAACATCTCTGGTACAGGGTCAGACTTCAGTGGTTGGTTCAGGAAATGTTGGGGCAGAGTTTGCAAGGCAGATTATCCCTGATGTTTTGCTGCAGACATTCAGTTAAGTTTCACAGCAGTGCTTTTCCTTGTCTTGTGTTTGAAGTGTTTTCAAGCAAATGATTACAGATATATATTTTGGTCATCTTAATAACACAAATGCATGGACATTATGTAGATACAGACGTTGTCAACCATGGAAAGGATTCCAAAAATGCAAAAACAACATTGATTTGCCATCGATTTTAAGAACCCAAACCAATCTCTGCAGGCCACCCACACAAGTTGAGACTCTTTCCTTTACGTAGGGTGCAGAGAGTTTATTTTTACACAGAACCAGAAATATTTTCCCACAGGTTCTGATTTCTTTGGCGCTGAGACAGATGTTGGAATCATATTGACTCTTTTAATTTGAAACATAACCTACAATGCAGGTCACTGTTTTTGAATCCCTGCAGAGGCTGTAGCATGATCTTGTTCTGAGCGTGTATGTTCGTGTATTAATATGTGTGATTGTTTTTTTTTTTTTTTTACGTGTTAAGCGAGAGAAAACGAAGAAGCATTTTTCATCAATTTTTTACTACATCAATCAGCACAGTATTTTTTAGGATCCTTAACTGTGGGAAACACACCACAGCAATCTTATGGAAAGTAGGGATGGGCATTTACTGTAATCTCAATATTCAAGTACTCTCATCAACTTGAGATGGTATACTAGGTGTGCAGCTCGTCATCAAATCCCAGTTCTAGATAAAATGACAAGTGTTTAGCCCCCACTCTGCTGCGCCTTCCTTGTTCATCTTTTCCACTTTCTTCACTATTGTTCGCAGTGATGGAGGCTTATGTTACGGCTCGAGAAAGCGCCATCTGCCTGTATGGTTCTCTGCCGGTTTCTTCTTGTGCTTTAAGTTGATGTGGTCAAGTATCCAAATAGAACTTCTATGATATCCAAGTTTAACACCACTGATGTTGCACTGCACATTATCGTCATCTGTCTTTGTCAAAGTACTTCCAGCACTCGGTGTGCTCATTTGTGTGTTTGTTGATTAAAGCTGAAGCCAAGGCTTGAGAAGCTTTACATCTGTCTACCATTTGTTATTATCTTACTAAGTAGATTTATTTTGGCAAACCCCCACAGCTCAGTTACACATGCAGCACTAACTGAGCTGAAATATTGTAGCCTAAAACGACGCATGCTTAGGTGTTCAAGTAGTGAAACGCTACTTGAATGGTTTTGTCAACATCAAGTATTCCTGAACATGTCAGAAATCATTTTTAAGGACACTTTCTCTTGAGGAATAATCTCATTTTTTTAAATTCAGACCCCAGCTGCTTTTATGGGGTTTTTTCATTCTTAATTCTCTGTGATTTAATCACGGATCTCTGGCAAGGTTGCAGTTGGGTTCAAACTCTCTTGTTTTGCATTTTGGATTTTTTGCAGGCCAAGGAAAAAAGCCATTCTCCCTCTCACTGGGATTTCCTTTTCTTTTGTCTTGCAGAACTAGGCACACAGTAGAAAATGGGGCCGACAGTAGCAAAGTGGAAAGGAGAACTTTTTCCTTATTGGTCGATTGTGATGGGGTCAAGAGTTTAAATTTGACAAGCCATGAATCCCATGGTGGTTTAAACATTAGAGTAAATGTGCTCCCAGCTGTGGGTTTGATGTGAAATATATTTGACAGTTAAGGTCGTATGACCCATAATGTGATATGCTGGGAGTAGGTGTGTCTGCACACGTGTTTGTGTGAGGGGGATTCAAAGGCATACAAAACAGACATGATGAGCTTTTCCTGTCACATATGTAACAACTTTGCACATAGGAACATCACCAAGTATACCAGAAGGGTTATAGAGTATTTAGTGACCAAAGGATTCATCCCTGGACTTTAGAAAAACAATTAACTTCCTGATAAACACACATGGTTTCTCAAGCTGAAGTTCAGGGCCCCACAGAGAGGATATGGGTCCCTGCATGCAATTTCATTACAGTGAGGTTAATTGAAGGGTCTCTTGAAATATTAGACCAGCAGCTCTCATAGCTCCAGGTATTAACAGAACTTAAGAAGGTGGTTCTGAGAGGACTTTAAAAACACAGCTTTTGTCTTTACTCTCACGTAGTTTTGAGTGACAGATGCGTGTTATTTGGAGCTTTGAGTCGTCGCGTCATTTTTTAATAGAAAGCATAACACTTTATCTTGAAACTTGTAATCTTAACTCATTTTTTTTGCAAAACCTGAAGTTTAAACGATTGGCTGGCCTCACATCTAGGCCATTAAGGCCGTCGGAAAAGATCACATTTAGAAAATGGGTAATATACAAGAAGTAATGAATTGGAACATAACAGGAATTTGACACCATATAATATTTCACCAGATAGCTGTAAATATCTTAACATTATAAACTCGATTTAAAAACAACGGTGATAATCTTGTGTGGATTAAAGCGTCGCCTGTGGAAGTATTCTGTGTGTAGTCTCAGTTAGAGCACTGGTTGTACAGATTTGGTCATCTTTAGGAGTCTGTCAGGTAGATTAATTTTCTTTTGCTCTGGCCCTTATGGGATAGGACAGATACAGAAAGACAGGATAATATTATTATAAATAAGATGTACTGCATTGCTTTGGACTCACTTATAAAAAAAACCCCCCATAAATAGAGATAATACTTCTCACAGCAGTGGCATATCGCAGCGCCCCTTGACATATCTTACATTACCTGTTATTCAGAATATGAATGGACATCAGCAAAAATGAATGTTTATAGCAGTTCAGTCTGGTCTGATGAACGCTGAATCTTCTCCCAGAGGATGAAAGCTGAAAGAGTGAAGAATGTGGGTCAGATCAGACACTGTTTTCTGTGCCTGACTTACAACAGACTGCTCATACAGTGTGTGGAGCATGAACTTCATAGTACTCTGCACAAGACGAGTTATCTGTGGTTTCAGCTGAACAGACAAGCGACTATACCACGCTGTTATCCCGTATCTAATAATGCTTTCAAAAACAGCAATGTAAAACATGATTTTCTGCTGAACTCCAGAGACTCTCAGTCTGCATAAGAAGTACATCTGCAGTCTAGAGCAGAGACTCTCAGCATGGCTCCTCCAGTTGAGTGTGTTGTCAACATCATGAACCCCGAGCGTGGTATTTGTACGAGCAGACCTGTGTCTGAGTGAAATGTAGGGAGAGAGAGGTGAGGATGACATGAACCAAACAGCGTCAGGATCGGGAGTCAAACCCGCAACCAGATCAACTAGGACTGTAGCCTTTGTACAGTATATGGGTCACATACCTCAGATCATTATAAATATAAGAATGAGGAGACGGAAATGTGCTATTTTGTATTGTATATAATTAGAGAATGGTTTAAGTGTAATACCACAATGGAACTTATCAACCTGACTACATTTATCATGTTTTTTATTAAAGTAATATAATGCTTGTGTTTGTGTGGGTCTCCAGGTACCAACCGTGCACTGCTGTGTAAGTCTAGCAGCGACGGGCAGAACCAGGTTCTCCAGATCGGACGACCTCACAGCACTGACAATGAAGACGAGCTGCAGAGACTGGCTGCGCTAGGTGAGACACACAGATGGATAGGCAGACATTTACAAACATGGACGACAGAAACGGAAGAAAGATAGATAAACCTTCTGTAATAGGCTGTGTATAAGTAGTGGACGTAGCTTTGTGGTGGTGGTGCCTTAAACACGCAAACCTTCATACAGCAAGCAGAGGGTGACTCCACTGCTATCATAAAACATTTCTGATTGTACGAAAGTTTGAGAAAGTCACCTTACTAACCACTTTTATTAAATCAATAATTATGTACCTATTGAGTTCAAGTTCTTCGTCCTAACTTTAAGTATCTTCAAGTCTCAGCTCCATTTAAAGTTAAAGAGCAGTAAAGAATGCAATGCTTTTCTGACACACTGTTATTGACAGCTCCTGGAAAAGGCTGATATCTTATGCATACAAGAGACATTTCTCACTAAACGGGACCTATATGAAATTAATTCTGTCAATAATGATTTTTATCAAGGCTAACAGAAGGCGATCGCTGCTATTACAACTCAGATTGATAGGACCTTAAGTTATACTGAGGAACCACTTGATGCTATTTTCTGTGACAACACAAACGGCGAGAATCAAAAACACAATGATCGTTCATGTTTGATGTTTGATAACATTTTAAAATGTCTTAAGTAAAAGCAGTAAACCGCTCTCCCAAAAAGTATTAAAACCATATTGTCAGGGCACGATGGATGAATATGTGTCTGAACTCTGTTGATTCCATGGAAAACTGGGATCATGCGGAGGAGCTTGGCATGGCCCAGAGTTTGAACACAAAAAAAAAACATTCAAACGCCAGATTTAAAATATGCTTTACAGTTTATTAAAAGGAATGAGTAGGCCATGAGGGCAAACTCCATGGCCAAAAAGCTCCAACAGAATAATGTTTGCGTATTCTGGAAGGAAGTTAGAGTTATCAATAACTACAATATGCTCTTACCATCAAGTATTGATGGAACAACTGGGCCTGATAATATTCTCAGTGTGTTTAATGTGTGTAAAACAACAGATGGAAAAAGCAAGTATGAGTTATGGCGATGGAACTTTATTTTTTGGATGATGTATCACACTTTTTAATGTCATTGCACATTTTTCTCACATCGTGCAGGTTCTAGCTACAATGATAGGTTTAGAACAAGGTCTGAAAAAAGCTTTTTGAAATTTGTTTGACCTTTTATTTCAGTTTTTATTTACTGTAAAACAAAATATGTGGTTATGAGAGATGAATAGACAGTATCTTGATCACGTTGGTATCGAATAAGCACAGCAGCATGTGTTGCTTCAGACATAAATTAAATTCCTTGTGTTTTGAGCAGGATACACAGGCACATAGAGACACAGCCATTAGCGAAGCCCAGCTGTTATTGATACACATGCAGCCATCCATTCACGGTGGACAGCTAATGGTCCATACCGAGGTGTCGTGTATGTAGCAGGAAATACAGACATTGTGATTAGCTTTGCAGGAGAGGCATTGGGTGCAGCCTGGCACCTGTAATGAATATAACAGAGAATTAGCTGCATTGTTTAGCATCATTTCACACCACACAATAAGACGAGGAGGCAGAGCTCTCTGTCTCTCTTTGTTCTCTTGCTGCTCCTCTCAGGGAGTCTCATAATTGTTCTGTTGTTCAGGCCCCTTCTCCCAATGATTTCAATGAAATAGCAGTCATTCCATTAACCCAGCTCAAGGTGACCTCTCCCCTCATATTTTCATACATCCCATTCCCACCCTCCCACTCCCATCCCCTGCCTCTACTGATTGCTCTTGTCTTATTGCTTTATCCTCTCCTTCCTCATACAAAAATCTCCTGCTCCTCCCCCCACATTCCCTCTGAATATCATCATACTGCAATTTGATTTAAGCTCCTTCCTCTGTCCTCCCTGTCTGCCTCTAAAACAGGCGTGGATTCAGCCCGGGTGAAGCAGGCGGGACAGATCGCTGGTCAGAGCAGCACAAGGAGACTAGGAGACTACAGGGTCAAGTTCAACTACAATGACATCGACTTACTCAGGTGAAGACTTAAAGACTTGTTAAGACTTGTTTAGCCTTTTCTTTCATGTTCATGTCATTTACACTGTTTGCCATACATCCACCTGATATCTGATCTTTATAAGCAACAGTTACACATTACGAACACATTTCTTCTCAAACTTTAGTTAAAAAAAAGAAAAAATCCAGATTCTTCAAAAGAACTTGATTTCCATCCGTCTGTTTTAGTGCCACAACTATTTCATTTAAATGTATTGTTATGATGAAAAAGACAGAGCAGATGTCAAAATCTGTTCCACTGGGACCTTTACAGTGGAGGCAATGTTTCCACATCATTTTCTGTGTTATCAGATCAGACTCTGCTCCAGCCCCTCTTTCACCACAGCTCAACTTCTTGAAATTCCATGATCCTGGGGTCCCCTCTCTCGCTCTCTCACACACGTCTCATTTCCTGCTCCTGTCTGCAGACCAGGCCGAGCAAATCAGTCTCAGATATCTACAAGTCATTCTGATTGTAATCCTCAATAAAACACACAAAGGAATCTTTGCAGAATTTTCATCCTTAGTGCCGTCAAAAAGAGTGCAGTAAATTTGATGCGGGCCACATGTAAATGATTCTTTGGATCTATGAGGTTAGCCTGCGTTATTGTGTTTAGTCCAGATGCATTTATGTGTTTAGTTTTGCCTCAGTTCCTCCTCCTCCTCCTCTCTCTTTTTTACTTCTCATCCTCCCTTCTGTCTTTGCTTTTTATCCTCCTCCTCTCTCTTTGATAATGCGTCTGCTAACGTATCGATCTTTTCCTGTCCTCCTCCACCATCAGTGCGGCCAAGACGAGGCCAATCATTTCAGAGCCGGAGATTCATGGCAGCCAGCCTTTGGACAGCGTGACGGGCTTCTTGTTGCTGCTGTCAGAGGGTCTCATCAATGCCCTTGAGTCTGCCCATGGAGCCGAACAAGCTAATCAGGTTAGCAGATTCATCCAGACGACCAAAACCACTTTCCCTTCACTTTTTTATCGTTTTATTTTTTTTGTTTACTCTCTGCATTATTGGTTCTCTTCCTCATTTTCAACCACCTCCTCAAACCACACCTTTCATCTTTCTTTCTTTCGTCTAAGCCCACTTAGTTGTTTTCGTTTTCTGTCCTTTTCCTATCTTCCCACCCATTGCCTTGTATCATGTCAGTGTACCCAAACAACCTCTTACCTCCTTTGTGTTAAGGTCATCTTACTAATTTGATTTTTCAGTAAGTATTGCTTGCCCCTTTTTTCCCTCCAATTCAAGTTTCTTCCCATCAATTTGTCGGCCCTTATCATTTTTCTGTCCTTTCCTCGTCATCATCTTCTGTAATCCATAAAATGTTTCCATCTCTGACTCCTATTCTCCTCTCCCCTCCATATTAGGAAATAGTTGCCATGGTAGCAGCAGAACTGGCCCAGCAGACCAGTCTGGAGGCAGCAGCTCAGTCGGTGGTGGAGCGTGTCAAACGGCTTCACCACGACGTTTACGTATCTGGCCGTCAGAGGGCGACTTACTGTTCCCGACACGAGGACATGACCCTGCTCATCCGCACGCTCAACTATCCGCTGGCTGAGGGCGCGCTAACACCTACACAGGGTAGGACAGAGCGTTCTGGGTTTCTTTTAGATTTTAGGAAAACATGCCGACCTCCACACGAGCCACACCATCAAACTTTCCACATTTAAAAAAGTGTTTCAGAACACTTTTTAAGGTTAAGAAGCATGTTAGAATGTGTGAGACAGATTCACTCAAGACAGTGAGACAACTTTAAACTCCATATTCAGCGCTCCAAACCTTTATAGACCAACTCAAATAATAGTCGAGAGACATGAGAAAGTGACTGTTCAGTATTCCACAAGTAAGAGGCAAAGATGGAAGTCCTAAAAAAGAAACTCAATTTTATAAACAACCTAGAGACAAAAGATCCAGGTGTCCAGGATGAAACCAACTGCTTTATTCATTTAAAAAAGGGAGACTAGTAAAAGCTTTTTTTATTTGAAACTTAACTACTTTATATTTGGTGTCAGGAGATGAATTATTAATTTGCAAAAAACTTGAACTTGACTGTAAACCAGTCAAGGAAATAGGCATCAAATTACTGAAAGCTAATCAGCTGTATATATATATATATATAAGACCTGCAGTATTTTAATCATTTCACTTTTTGGGACTTCAGGGCTCCATTAATGTCATGTATATACTTTAATAATGATAATAATATTTACTTTATTTATGCAACACCAAGTTACACAGGTTTAAGCAATGTTCAGGAAGTCCTGGATGAGAGCAGTAGAATGTAAAGGTACACGTACTTGGGACCGTTTTGGTACAGGGCTTTCGGTCCGGTCTGCACGCAGAGCGGGAGCACACCACAGACGGCAAGCGTCACGGCATCCACAACAAATAAGCAGCTCGAGCTGGAAGATCCCCCGCTATCTTCGAAGTCTCCTGTGTGGGAACATTTCGATTTCAAGTTAAATGCAATATTAGACAAAGACACATTGACAAGGCGAGAGTAATGTGCCGACGTTGTTCAGCGGACATCGAGTACGTCGCTGGAAACACGTCCAACTTATTAAAGCACTCGAGAAGGCACCACGCGAACGTAAACATCACTGCAACTAGGAAATAAGAGACCGTGGAGCAAACACAACCCTCCTTTGCATTTAAACAGCCTTTTGCTACTAATTCTGAACGGGCCAAAGCCATAACAAATGCCACTGGCGTTTTTATTGCAGCGGATTCATATAGAATGTGAGTTTTGTGTCATTGTTTTTACAAGTTCTTATATTGACAGAGGGAAATTTTAATAGTTCTGCGATTAAACTATTTTTAGGTTTATTTTTTGCTCAAAGGGCATTCAAAAAAGTGTTGGCTTAATAAACCAAAAGGTGTCAGTGTTTGTGTGTTTGCAATTTAAAAGAAATATTTTTATATATAGGCTATATTGATTATTTTATTTCATTCTAAAATACTTTTTTTCATTCATGTCTTTTATTTATTGGAGACTCTCTTGGTTGAATGATGCAGCATAAGTTTTTATTTTATTAATTTAAAATGTTATTAAAAAGAAACCTGAGCAGGTGTACAAGTCTGAACTGGCGATGCTGAACTTCAGACAATGTGTAAAAGGGAAGTTCTAAATGTTCCTAATGAAGAAAAAAAAGTGCTGCATCATGTCCCTTTACTGTACCGAAAATGAACCGAACCGAAGCGTCATAACTGAGAACTGTACTCAAACAAACTCTTAGTTTACCCTCACACCCCTTGTAATTATTAGAATCAAATTGGTATTTAAAACATTCATGTTGGATTTGGTTTTTATTGCATTTTATAGGCATAGTATCTCAGATGAGGATTAGTTTAAATCCATCCGTCCTACTCTGATATTTTTAAACCTGTGTTGGACTGACCTTCAAAGAGAATTTTGAAAAAAATATTCTATTTATCCACCTCCAAGCAGGGAGCCTTACAACAGAAATCAAAGATTTTAAGAGGGGCAGCCCAGAAGTCCTCACAGAGCCAAAATAACAAAAGTCCAGACAGAAAAAAAAAAAATCCAATTTTCACCATGATCCCAAAGTGCCAATTTAATGCTGAGGCTGCAAACAAGGTGCTCTGTGTTTTTAGAGAGCCTCAAATGGATGACACTACATAAATGAAAGTATTGCTCTTTCCTTCTTACAGGTGGGCGTATCTATCCCGTTTCAATTCCCTACTCCAACAGCCAGAGCACCAGTAAAACCAGTGTCACCCTCTCACTGGTCATGCCCTCTCAAAGTGGTACCCTCACCAATGGAACTAACACAGCCTCCACTCTGGAGGAGGAAGGCACCCCCACACCAGGGTAAGCTTGCTTTATGTTTATCCTCGTTCCCTCCTCACCCTGTGTTTCATCTGGGACCAGCTTGATTTTTTGCTCTTTCGCATACATATTCTGTGCATGCCTGAGCTTTTTTATTTGTTTTTGGGGACTCTGATGTTGTGTACTCTATTCATAAACTTCCCTTTTCCACTTCTGTTGTGTTCCCTATGTGAGCCTAATTTTGGATCCACTCCTCCCCTCCCTACTGTGAGGTTTATTTTGGGTGTAATTTAGATAAGCAAGATTTTCAACTCCCTCATCCCTCCCTTGCTGTATTTATTTTAGGTCAGCTTGATTTTCACTCCCATGCCTCCTCCCACTGCAGTGCTTATTTATGTGTCAGCATGGTTTTCACCTCTCTATTGTTCTGCCGCTGTGTGAGTGTGTGTGCTGTATCCAACCAGGGTTTCTTTCACAGATGACAAAGAATTAAGAGGTCTAATTGCAAAAGTATTTCAACATTGAACTTAAGAGTAAGGATAATGGAAGCATTTTAATGTTATTAAATTAGTAATACTCTTGTGGGTTGTTTTCCTTGGATTTTCAACGGTGTTCTGTGAAACCAAATCACACAGGAGCCCAGTAATGTCCAGACAGGAAGTACAGTTGGAGTTTCAGGTTAATGCGTTGTAGAGCTTGTGAGAAGCCAGAATACAAAACAATGGTCTTTTATATAACTCTTGAAAGTTACTATGGTTGCAGTTTTGTATCTGTCATCATGATGATCGGGAGATAAACTGCATTCACATTATAAAGTAAACAGGGAAGTTCACTTGCATACATTTCATTGGCCAGCACACAGCCTCGGTGGTTTGACTTTGTGTTGCAGCAAAAAAAGTGAACCTAGTTCAACTCTTTAGTGGGGAGCCCTTCATTTTTGTTTAGTTTAACCCACCGCTAGGCCTCCAAACTGGCCCCATTCCACCCAGAGGAGAGGCTTTTTCCAGGAATAAGTTATTCTCAATTCTTGTACTTTTCAACAATAAGAGGCCGTTGTCAGTCAATGTCAGCTGCAGTATATTGTTCTTCGTCCATCTAGTGTGGAGCACAGAGAGTATAAAATGTTGATGTTGACCTGGTAATGTCACTTGTTGGGTTTCTGGAGAGGCCTTGTGAAGCGAAGCGGTAAATCAAACTTTTATATAAGTCATCCGTTTGATTTTACGAAGGATAATAATTATTCATTATTAGGGACGTGACTGCAGGCGGGGGCGCCCAGCTGTTTGTCAGGAACTTAAGGGTCCGCCTCAGCTCCGCCTCTTTGTCTGTTATCAGGTTGACCGAAAATTTGCTTCATATAGCATTTTCAATAATGTAACTATCATTGTAGGCCTGAACAAAGCTGCATATTTAGTGTCGTTCTCCAGAGCCTCCTCTGGATCGCTTCATGTCTGATGACATCTGATGTCTGATGACATCTGATGTCCTTCAGTGGTAATGTTATTGCAGAAAGCTATTTTCAAAGGCAGATGAGAGTTTCTCCAATAAGGGGCTGCTTTTAAAATGTCTGCCTCAAATTTCATTTCAAATTGTTTTAGATGATTATTTGTCCAAAACAGCTATCTTATTTCCTTTATTTACATGAAACAGAGAAATCAAAAAATGAAGACGAGATGCAGGATGAACGAGAAAGGGAGGAGGAAACTGTTACAGATCAACAAAGACAGTTGTTGAAAGTTTGATGTTTGAAAGATCAAAGTACCTTCCCCTCTTTGCTGCCTGTGTAGCTGTTAGTCTGTAATGTGCTTCAAATGCTTGTTGTGATTTTGTGTGATCGCGTAAGGCTATAAATGGATCAGGTTTTAATTCAGAGACGGAGGAGAGTAGGAATTATTTTTATTTACTTAATACTTTCAATGCCGTTTGTCTTAATAATGATATAAATTTGCCTTTTCTTTCTTTTAATAACTGACTAACAAGTATTTTTTTTTTTTCAATCTTGAATTAAAGTGACAGTGAAGGTGATAAATCAAAAGATCCACAGATAACACTAACTTACATGCAGTTCTCTCTTTCTAAACATTTAAAGGATGAAATGTACTAAAGATAATGTTTTGGAAGGAGAACAACATGTCCAGCTCTGAGAGGTGCATATGAATAATAGCACAGTCATGGGCAGAGTGGATACTGTGCTCAGCGGAGTGCTTTCCAGACCATTTAGAATCCCATAATCACAAAAAAGCACTCAGCAAGCTGCAAAGATGGTTTGATATTCAAATTTGACAATTCAAGTCGTTTTTTCTCAAGTAAATTGAATGTATGATTAATTAAAAAGCATAATGTATTTAGACCTTCTCACAGCATGCTTGAAATGTACCTGACCTTGCTTAAATCTACCTGTAGCTCAGCACAATTCAACATTATTAGGACTCTGCTTCTGCCAGCTGCTTTCTGTTTTCAGCATGTGCATACTTTTCTTCCCCCCTTTTCTCCTCTGCTGTCCTTGCTTCTCCTTTTTTTTGCTCCTTTAGCACGTTCAATCCCGCTAGCTGCCAACCATCCGTCGACATCCTGCAGCCTATAATTGAACTCCCTTTTTCCCCCTTCTCTCCTCTCCCCCTCTCCACCGCTCTCTTCTCTCTTTCCTCCACCCCTCCTCCTCTCCGCCCCTTCCCTCTCTCCACCTCTCTGCAATGTTTCTCCACCCATGATATGGATCCCTACCTCTCCTTGGATGCCCAAACGTCTTCCTCATCCATCCCTACGCTCATACCTGCACCCTCCTCTTCCTCCACCCTCCCCAACCAACCACCCTTCTCCTCCTGCCTCTTTTACTCCTCCACTCTCCCCAGCAGTCAGAGCCCCACCGCCACCCTCCAGTCCACCAACACCCAGACGCAGAGCTCCAGCTCCAGCTCAGGGGATGGGAGCCTTTTCCGACAAAGAGGCAGCCAGGCAGCTCAGCCCGACGAGACGGGCCGGGTCCCGCCTTACGTGGACTTCAGTCAGTTTTACCACCTGTGGGGGAGCGATCACAGCGACAGCCAGAGCGCCCAGGGAGGACTGGGACCCCAGTGAAGGAGGACAGGGAGGGTGCTGGGTTCAGGTTTGAAAGGGATGGACTTGGTTTTCTGGCAGAAAGTTGCCAGCGTGGAGGAAAGACGAGGGTGATTAACCAAATGTTGAGTTTAGCTAGTATGCAAAGAAAATCCCCTAAAACAACATCACCAGGTTAACTCTTCTGTAAGAGATGCTGGTCATGAGTCATTGTGAATATAATGTATGTTATCAAGATTATAGCTGTTACTGTCAGATGTCAAATGTATCCACAAACACGTGTCTCACAGACCTGAGAGTTTGTGGCGGTGAGAATGCTAACACACTGTAAGGCCTTATAATGGGATGAATGGACGGGTTTGAAAGTTGTTGTTTTTTTTGTTTTTTTTAAATGAAAGTATATATCTGAATGAAACAATATGCTCTCCCGGCTTCTCTTTATACCGACAACATGTGACAGTTGAGCATTTCGTCCTCTTGTCTGAAACATTGAAGATTGTTCATTCAACAGTTCCACAGGTTATTGTTCCTGTTGAGGGAAGCAAAGAAATGTACGAAAAAGTCGCCTGAGACCTAACATACAGCAGTGAGCAGACTTTAGTAGTTGGATGGTAAAGAAAAATGTACTGAAAGCGAGGGGATAACGTTTTCTTTTGTTCCTAGTGATGTGTCCCTTTGCAAAACTGCTCCTACCAGCTCTAGTTTTGCAGGCAACATGTCTGTTAGTCAACTGAAAACAAAAGCAGGTTATTTCGACTCTTTTTTTTATGATTGAACAAATGGCGAAAAAAATCATTATAAGGGAAAGCAACATAATTTGCTTCATCTTGGAAGGAAAATGAGCAACAAGCAACATTGTATTGCCTTGACGAATCAAGAAAAGCTATCAGCATGTTTAAGACTTCACAATGTAAGATGTTAATATAATCGCAGTTTGGAAATATTCTTTATAACCTTAAAATGTTTACTTCAGTTGCTGAAACAGAGTCAAATTAAATTATTGTGAAAACATTGGAAAACCAGATTTTTTTTTTTTTTAAAGAAATCTCTACAGCACGATTAATACTCCACTAGAATGCCGTTACTGTCAGCCATTTTTACTGAATCAAAAAAATGTCAGGTTCTGTGCTTCAGATATTGCACTTGACCCCGCTTGATTCCCCTGTGCGTGCAGAGGTCATATTCTACAGTAAGGAATGAAAACTAGTTTAAATAGAAGCACTCACAGAACATGAATGCATTGAATGGCCACTGAATCATACCAAACATGGTATTTAAAATAAATATAAAAAAAAAAAAACGAACATGTTTAGTCTTTGAACACACATTTGAAAAGTTAATGTCAAAGTGAGTCTGGACCTCGATTCTTCCCAGAGAATCTGTGAAACTCGACTACAGTCTCAAGGCCTGAAGATAATGAAATCTACGTATGTGAGACAGATGAGTGACTTTCATTGGCTCTGATTTAAAGAGCTGAAATGCTGAACCTGGAGGTGTTCAAGGATCAACACAAGCTACAGCATGAGAAGACAATGAGGTGTGGGGATGAGGTGTCTTACTGGAAGCTGCTCCCAAACCAAGTGCGTCATCGCCTCAGTGCTCGAGTCCTTGACTGTGAAGCGTGGTCGAGCTCTTTCAACATGATGAAGAGAAATGAAAGAGGGGAACTCAGCAGTGACATTGATGGATGGGAAAAACAGAGGCTGGAGCTCTAGGCGACGGTATTCACAACCCGTTAAGTAGAGAATCATATGGTGGTGAAGAGGAGTGAGGAGCGGTTTACAAGGTGGAGCTGAGTGATTGTTAGAGCAAATAGCAATCCATCACTTTTTATTCATCACCTGATGATTTCAGAATCCGCTTTGAAATATAAATGATATAAATATTTCCGGCTCTTCAATTCAAAATGTCAAACCTTGACAAAAAAAAACACTTTATCATGCCCTATTGGATAACTTTTTTTGAGAGGGTTTATTTGGAGTAACCTAAATATGAGCTTCTTCTAGCTAGTAATAGTTTCACAATACCATTTGGCAAGAAAGACAGAAAACACATTTATCCTTCAACCAAAAGTGCACAAATATACCAGCTCTGGGAGTACTCTGTTGTATTAAGCCAATGGGGAAGAGTTATTATGTTACATGTGTCTTCCCTGCTATGAAAGGCTGACATCGGGGAATCCAAGAAAAAAAATCCAGCTGTTATATTTGAAAGTTTGTCTGCATAAAACTGAATTTACACATTTGGCTGGTAAAATACATTTATGTGTTTTTCCAACATCATAGCAACAGCAGCACGTGTCACTACCCATTATGTCCATAGACTCTTCCTGTTGGACGTCAGGAGTTAATCTCTTCAGTTAATTAGTTAATTAACTTCACACTGTTATGAAACCCTAATTGGCCTAATAATGGCTGTAATTAGAAACACACACAAAAAGCAATAAACGTGGGCTAAATGACCTCCCATTAAAGCATCACATCACCAGTCAGAGCTGCACTGGAACACAGACTCGTCTGGTATCACAGCAGACACAAAACATGTTACTAATTGCTCACTTTAGAGTTAATTGGTGTTATCCTGCTGCTGAGGTCATAACCCCGTTCTTGAGAAGTGGCTTCAATTAACTTTATTGCTCCTTGAAGAAAATTAAGGGAGGTGAAAAAGCAGGTGAGAGATGAGAGGTTGAATTGAGATGCCAGCATCACTGCACTGAAATACTTATTTCAGCATTTTTCCTGTGATGGAAACATGGAATATGCGCTCCTCAGTTTCTGTATGTTCTTTGAGATGCTTTTGCTTGGTGCTGGGAGATAAACAGTAGTGCCTTGCTGTAGTTGTTTTACAATCATGTTGGTTATATGTTCCTGTCATAGATGGTCTGTGGGACCTGGATGTAACCGCTGTGGTCATGAATGTTGACAGACTTTGGCTTATTTCCAACGCTGAGACATTTAACACCTAACTTTTTTTTTGTTGTCAAAATCTCAAATCTTAATGCAGAGAACACTTATCTATTTAAAAATAGATGTGCATTATTTGTCACAGAAAAGACACTAGAGCAAGGGATTTAATGGTACACTCAACTCAGGGTATGATGCTTATCACAATTCAATTATATGATGTTTTTCTAAAATGTTCTAGTTTTTCTAAAGAAATAAGATTAAAGTCAATTTATTAATACATATATTTCTTAAAATAAAATTTCCTGACAATAAAAATGCAAAATATCCTCTGTTATTTTTTTTTTTATTTACACAAAGTGACACTTGTGTCTTCCAAAAAGACCTTTATGATATATTTTATTTGTAATGAAGGATATTAAAACCTTTCAAACTTTGGTGACACATCACACACATCGGCACATATAAAGGGGTTATATTATGCTTTTTCTGGTTCTATATGCTCTTCAGTGTGTTTTCCAAGTGTCCTGTGCATGATAAGGTGCTGAGGTTGTTACAGCACCCCCTGTCGACGATGGGAGGAACACATGCAATGTGTGAAAAAAAATAACTTCAAAAATAACTACTGACTGAATTTTGTTTTTGTTGAAAAATGTATGACAGTGCCTGTTATGTGCAGAGTATAATAATACATTTCTCTAGCATGACATGAAAACACATTCACATCAGGTCAAAGTGCAACTTCGGGTCTACTGCGGGTCACCTGGAGAGACGTTTTGGCGGCACGAGCAAAGCGCCGTCCCAGAGAAGACTATAGCCTACTTTTTTTTTTGCTTTACCGAAAGTGCCAAAACAAACTAAATAAAAACCGAGCAGGAGGACGCTCGGAGAAGTTGCTGTAAGAGTGTTTCTGCTAACGTTACACCTGCGTCTTCACCTCCAGACACACATGGAGTTTCTTCATGTCTGTCAGGATGTTATGGACAAGTTGGACATGGAGCCTTCAACTCAGATCTTTGTGAAGCACACAGCGGGATGCAAGACCACTTTAGGCATCTTCACTGCAATAAAGGTAAGTTATTCCAGAATTTTGATATTTTTTGCTAGGCTTTATCGTAGTTATTAAGCCTACTTTGGGTTATTTTGATGGTTGCATAGGCCTACTGTTTATTCCGAACATTTAACATAAGGCAAAAGTGAACAAAAAAAACAGCAACAGACAGAACATAAATAATAATTACAAACAGTGGAAAGTATAATTCAGAAGAAAGAAAAAAAAATGGACACTTTAATTGTTGGTCGTAGCCAAACGTAACATCCTTAGAATATCCATAAAAAGTAGTGAATGGACCCTGCTGTAACAGTTATTTCAGTCATAAAGACAGCACATGTTTTAAGTATTAGAACAAAAAAAGAACTGGACTGATCAGAGGCCTAAAAACTGCCTGATCTCATTTGACAGACGTAGCCTATTGTCTGTGTCATATTATAGGCTACATATTCCCCAGCTGTTGTCTTGTTTTGCTGTTTGTTTCTACCAGCCCATCAGATGGCAATGTGGAGCTAGATTTCCTGCTCTGCTCTGTCATAAATCATATTGCCCAAGATCACATGCAAGTACCAACCTGTGCTTTCAATTTCAAACTTGGTTTGATTGTGACATCAAAGCGCCATAACAGTTGGAAGAAAAAATAAAGGTGTCGGCTTATTCAGTGTGAGGCCAATGCAGAATGCAGAATCAGCAGTTGCAGTCTGCTATAGTCAGTAGTTATATTATGACAACTTAAATCATTTCAACACAATGGATAGGAGATGGAACACAACACACCTTGTGAGGTGTGTAAGCATTGTAAGCATTACGCTGGGTTTATTGTCAGTAAGGACAGAGTGGATTGGCCTATTTGCTCAGCCCACATTCACCTGTTTTTTTTTTTTTTTTTTTTTCAAATTTTATGACTTTTAATGTTAGAGCTCATTAGCGTTACCTGGAAGCAGGAGTGCCGGGCAGGAGAAGCCTAAAAAAGGGGTGTTTTACCTGAAGCTGCTCCATTCTCTCTAATTGTACTGGAAAAGACAGGAATAAGATCATAAAAGGTAAGTACACAAGATGTTTATATTCATACTTAAATGTCTGTGTGTGTGAGGAGAAGATCTGTTTGTGTGTGAACGTTTGCAGAAGTGACGGCTTCTCTGCCACAAGTCTGCTAGTGAAGAAGAAATCCTTTGGTCTTTTTTTTTTCTGTCGAGTAAACACTACACTTGGAAGTTTTCTTTTTCTTAGGAATACAACCTATGTGTCAGGCATTGTTATAGGATTTGTGACTTGTATGAATCCAAGGAATTGGCAAAAATGAATGACTGGAAGTAGGATCATTTCATACAAATGAGCTAATTAGGTTACATTTTCATACATTAACTTTCAACTGTTGACCACTAAACCTCCTGTGAGGAAATTCCAGTTTCTGTATATTTCGACTACCACTGAACAAAGCAGTACATCGAACCTCTTCCTCTGTTGATCTTATCCTTGAAAAAAACCTGTATGTAAAAAAAATCTCATCCTGCTTCTTGAAACATTTAAATGCATCACTCATTGAGAATCATTGCTGTGGAAAAAGTAAAAGAGGCTGTTTGGGCAGCATGCTGGTAATCACTCTGTAGCTGTTTTCACATACACTCTCCTGAATATATCTAGATAATTTCAGGAGTAATGCTCTGGATATTTTCCTGATTATTCCTATAATAATAATAATTTATACTTAATTGAGAAATTGGGAAATTTGTTTTTTACACTCTGTCTAGTGAACATGCTACACAAACATGCACAAACAGGACTATATGGACATGCACTAATGGAGAGGTCTCAGAGTGAGGGCGCTGCCCACAGTGGGCGCTCCTGGCCTGGTGGGGGGGTTGGGTGCCTTACTCAAGGGTACCTCAGCAGTGCTCAGGAAGTGGACTGGCACCTCTCCAGCTACCAGGCAAATTTCCGGACTTAGTCCTTGAGCCGGCGACCCTCCGATTCCCAACCCAAATCCCTACAGTCTGAGCTGCTGCCGCCCCCAAAAGAAAATCTCTGTTCCCATACCGGGAGTTGAACCCGGGCCACCTGGGTG